CTCAAACTCGCTAGTTCCTTAAGCGATACAAAGGGGTTGGGTGTGACCAGTGTTTTGATTTGATCCCTTGTCACCCATCCAAAATTATAGACAAAGAGGATCCACAACACACACAGACGCAATCCGACAAGTATTCCATTTCAGAACCAGCAAGGTGGAGGGAACTTAAAGCACCCCAAAAAGTTAGGTGAGGGGTATGGATGGATGCAGCTACCACAGGCTTCCTCAACCTCAGCCCTCCAGATGTTTTGAGACTACAATTCCCAGCATCCCTGACCACTGGTCCTGCTAGCTAGGGATCATGGGAGTTTTAGGCCAAAAACATCTGGAGAGTCAAGGCTGAAAAAGCCTGAGCTATCATATTCCCCCCCCTTTCATTTTTCCAGTCGTAAATTCAGATCTCCACATTTCTGTAGCTTTGTTTTCTTTTAAGAAATCCTCCCAAAAATTTGGCAGCATTTAAGTGCAAATTTCTCCTAAAAACACTTTTTGTTTGTTTGCAGTTTTTACTAATGCACACACATTTTGTGTGCATACAAGAAATCTGTCCTAACTGATTGCATTTCCGTACATTATTAGGGTTCCCTGCCTTCCACTCTATTAATTCCAATGGGCACCAGCCACCACTAGGGCTAACTAATACAGCGCCCTTAAGCTTCTTTCTCTTTAGGCTTCTTCACTTACTTCTTCATGCAGTGCAACATTAAACTATGGAACTCCCTCCCACAAGAGGCAGGAATGGCTGCCAACTTGGATGGCTTTAAAAAAAAGAATTGGACAAATTCATGGAGGGCAAGGCTCTAATAGCTTCTAGCTGTCATGGCCAAATTGGTCAGAGGCAGCCAAGTTTCTGAATACAGTCGTACCTCTACTTAAGTATCCCTCTAGATACGGAATCTTCGGGTTACGGCCTCAGCAAACCTGGAAGTGTATACTTCCGGGTTTTGCCCGGCGCGCATGTGCAGAAGTGCTCTACGCGCCTTGCACATGTGCAGAAGCGATCAATCGCGCCGCGTGCGTGCACAGAAGCCCGCCTCTATTTACATAATTTTTTGGGGGGACGAATGAACCCCCAGAATGAATTAAGTTTGTATCTGGAGGGTACACTGTACCAATTTCTAGAAGCCATAGGAGGGGAGAGTTGTTCTTAAAGAAGAAGAAGAAGAAGAGAAGAGTTTGGATTTGACATCCCACTTTATCGCTACCTGAAGGAGTCTCAAAGTGGCTAACATTCTTCTTTCCCTTCTTCCCCCACAACAAACACTCTGGGAGGTGAGTGGGGCTGAGAGACTTCAGAGAAGTGTGACTGGCCCAAGGTCACCCAGCAGCTGCATGTGGAGGAGCGGGGACGCGAACCCAGTTCACCAGATTACGAGTCTACCGCTCCTAACCACTACACCATATTGGCTCTTGAACTCATGTCCTGCCTTGGGAGCTTCCCAAAGGCATATGATTGTCCGCGGAAATGCTGAATTAGATGGCCCCAACCAGCAGGGCCTCCCTTTTTCTTTTCTTTCTTTTTTAAATTTTATTGAATAGTTTCACATAACAAATTATTCCAACAAATCATCTTCATTATGTTTTCCCCCATTTCCTCCTCCCCCTCCCTCCATCTTCCCTACGACTTCCCTCAGCTCCTCTCCCTGATTTTTTAACACATATTATTCTCTGCATGTTATAAAAACGTAAAGATCCTCAACTTATCTATTATATTAGTAACAATAAATTTGTGTATGTTTATTCAAAACCTGCCAAGGAGTCCAGTTCCTTTTTCTTTTCAATCTATTTTTGTTGAAACTTTTCAGCATACGATATAACAGAAACAGATTAATCAAAATATTTAAAAAAAAAAAATCACAAAAAAGAGAGAGAGAAAAATACATACATACTGTACATGCATGCATACATGCATACATACATGCTTCTCTATTAGAGGTAGAATTTAACTGCTGTGTCACATTAAAGGGGGTGGAACTTCCCAGCTCTTGCCTAGGAGCTTTCCTTCTTTTTCCCAGCCTCCCACCCTGGGAGATCATCCCTTCCCTGCCTCTCACACAGGGTCTTTCACCTCCCATCCATCACCTTCCCAGCAAGGCTTTTCTCAAATTCTTAAGCCTTTTAAGGAAAGTTTCCCATGAGGGCACCTGCTTGGTCCACGTGAGAACAGGAAGTTGGAACAAATGACCCATTGGCCCAGGGCCGGATTTAGGTTTGATGAGGCCCTCGGCTACTGAAGGTAATGGGGCCCTTTATACGTCCAGCTGTCCTTTGTCAACAACAAATTGTCATTGTTTTTTGTGTGGAATATATGCTACATGATGATTTATGGACCCAATAGGTATCTAAAGCCATTTGCACATGTTGTACATGCAGAATGTAGACAACCTATATATAGAAAGGAGCAAACCTGTGATATTTCAGGGAGCAGGCTAGCAGGCGGGGCCCACGACTTACATCATAGGAGCCAACACAACACAACACAACACAACACAACACAACACAACACACTGTTGCTGTATGTAGGTTTTATTTTATTTGCTTTTTATCTTATATTTTGGAAATGGACATCCAGGGTTTTTTTTTCTCCTTTAATTTTTTTGGGGCCCCCAAGAGAGTGGGGCCCTAAGCTATAGCTTGTTTAGCTTATACGTAAATCCGGCACTGCATTGGCCTGATCCAGAAGGCTTTTCTTATGTTCTTAAGCCAGACTTAGATCAGGCATCCTTGCACTGGGAGGAGTTTCCTCTCTTAAGGAGGACAGAAGGTTACCCTACAACTCCAGCTTTTTGACCCCCACACATACCATTCACCATTAATTGTAGTACTCAATGCTGGTGATCATATGGAGCAGGTACCCCCAAACTTAGCCCTCCAGATGTTTTGGGACTACAACTCCCATCACCCCTAGCTAACAGGACCAGTGGTCAGGGATGATGGAAGTTGTAGTCCCAAAACATCTGGAGGGCCGAGTTTGGGGGTGCCTGATATGGAGACTTGAGACACTTGGACGTTAGAGTGAGTAGCAGCTGTTTGGTGTGTGTGGTGGGGACAAGGACTGTGGGGAGAAAAGCTGTTCAGGTTGCATTTAAAGGTAGAGCTAATTAATTCAAATCTTCTGGAAAAAATAAACCAGAACTCGGCCGTCCCTCAATTCTGTGAATTTTTCAATTCAGTTCTCCAGCCTAGTAAAGTTTTAAAAACTGCACCTGTTAGGGCAATTAGTGAACATAACTATATTAGGAAATATAGCATATTGAATGCTCTGTATCAGGGAAAATTGCTTGGAAAAATTGTGTATCTTAGACAACATTTTGAATACAAAAATGTGTACATTAGCAAAAATTTGCACTAAAATGCTGATGAGTTTTCAGGAGGACAGTAACAACAACAACAACAATTGTATCCCAGCCACTCTGGGCAGCTCACAATAGAACATCTAAAATATGATAAGACATCAAACATTAAAAACTTCCCTAAACAGGACTGCCTTCAGATGTTTTCTAAAAGTCAGGTAGTTGTTTATTTCCTTGACATCTGATGGGAGGGCTTTCCACAGGGCAGGCATGACTACAGAGAAGGCCCTCTGCCTGGTTCCCTGTAACCTCACTTATCGCAGGAAGGGAACCACCAGAAGGTCCTCGGAGCAGGACCTCAGTGTCCAGGCAGAATGATGAGGGTGGAGACACTCCTTCAGGTATACAGGGTCAAGGCCGTTTAAGGCTTTAATAGTCAACACCAACACTTTGAATTGTGCTTGGCAACGTACTGGGAGCCAATATAGGTATTTCAGGACTGGTGTTATATGGTCTCGGTGACCACTCCCAGTTATCAGTCTAGCTGCCACATTCTGGATTAGTTATAGTTTCCAGGTCACCTTCAAAGGCAGCCCCACGCAGAGCACATTGCAGTATTCCAAGTGGGAGATAACTAGAGCGTGCACCACTCTGGCGAGGCAGTCCGCGGGCAGGTGGGGTCTCAACCTGCGTACCAGATGGAACTGGTAGACAGGTGCTCTGGACACAGAATTGACCTGCGCCTCCATGGACAGCTGTGAGTCCAGAATGACTCCCAGACTGTGCACTTGAACCTTCAGGGGCCAGGGAGTCCCCCACACGCCCCCTGTTCCCCCCAAAATTACTTCTGTCTTGTCAGGATTCAATCTCAATCTGTTAGCCGCCATCCATACTCCAACCGCCTCCAGGCACTCACACAGGACCTTCACCGCCTTCACTGGTTCTGATTTGAAAGAGAGGTAGAGCTGGGTATCATCTGCATACTGATGAACACCCAGCCCAAACCCCCTGGTGATCTCTCCCAGAGGCTTCATGTAGATGTTAAAAAGCATGGGGGAGAGGGCAGAAACCCAAGGCCCCCACAAGTGAGAGTCTAGGGGTCTGAACATTCATCCCCCAACCCCACTTTCTGGACACGGCCCAGGAGGAAGAAATCGCAAACTGCTGTGGAAATGTGAAAAACCGTAAGAGTGGAAAAAATGAAAAATGGAGAGAAAATAAAATGCAGAGATCTGCCTGTCCCAAGTTGTAGGCAATTCTAGTCCTTCTCAGGGTATAGTCATGAGAGGAATAGACATGGCTAACCTCAGGTCCATTAATGTCAGTTGTTCTGCTCTACGTTAGTTGCATGTAACCCACTGGACTCGTTCCACTATTGCTGCATAAAAATACCACCAGCATCAATATTTCACCATAATCTAGATCACTCCCAGGAAACTCTATGCCCTTCCCATATTCTCAAAAACAGGTTCCATATTATTTTTATGAGGCTCTAAGTAAATAATACAAAGGATTTCCTCATACTATGTGCAAACTTGGTGTTGGCAAATGATGGACTGTGACTGGTCACAAGTTTGTTGGGGAAGGGGAGAGAAGGCCCCCAAGTGTGTTGCTGAAGGAAGAACTTCACCATATATCTTGAGCAAGAGGTGACTGGTTTGAGGGATTAATGTGTAAAGCAACAAAGATTTCACAACTAGGGGTGTTAGCAAAATAGTGGATAGAGTATAAAAGGTGGGTGCTTCATAGGACTCTTCACCACACCTTGGCTCATCTTAGCTCTCTCATCAATCACCGTCTGAGGTAAGTTGAAGACAACGAGGAGGTTTCCTTGTCTGATTTTGTAGGTTTCAGCCTTTGTGTTAGAGATAGGATGCTACTTGTTTTTCAGGGTATCTGCTGATGCTACAGGAACACCTGCATGGTCTCCCCTGCAACAATAAAAACCAGGGGAGAGATCTCATCCGAGAGGTGGCCAATGTGGTGCTTTCTTGATGTTGTTGGACTCTCAGTGCCCATCACCTTGACCACCGGCCAGGCTGGCTGGGGTTGATGGGAGACGGAGTTCAGCAACATCTGGAGGACCTCGGCCTTTAAATTTCTGTAAGTGCCTTTAATATGTGATCCTTGATTGGTGGGGCATGTGTCTAGGACATGGACGGGGAGCCAGATGTTGCTGGTCTACAGCTCCCTTCATCCCTAATTATTGACCATGCTACCTGGAGGTGAGGGAGTCTTAACAGCACCTGGAGGGCCACGATGTTGGCGCTCCCTGCTCTAAGACAGTGTATCCTAAGCTTGTGCTCTCCAGTTGTTTTGCACTGTAGCTCACATCAGCCCCAACATTGTGGCCGATAGCCAGGGCTGATGGGAATTGTAGATCCAGACATCTGGAGGACACTCAGTTGGGCAAGAATGTCTAGGATCAGAGGTGGATTAGAATATTAAGTGGCTTAGAAAAAGTGGCTTAAATAATAACTAAACAAGGGGGTAGGAATTTGGGATCTTAACATACAATGTGTCTTACTGTAGAGGGGAAAGACTCTCGCCAGGTGACCTGCCTATCTCCTCAAATGACCTGTCCAGGTCCTAAGTCTGGACGAACCACTTGAAGGCACTCACTATTTAGAATCTGTTAAGATAATTAAAGGATAGAAAGCAGAGGAAGACGGAAAGGAATTGCTGAAACAATTAACAGAAGTGGAATACAAAAAGGGAGGTGTGAGGAAGTCATTGAAATAAGTGAATGAAAGATAAGATATTGAAAATGTTTGATGTGTTTTAAACTGTTTTTGTTTTGTTTTGTTAGTTTAATGTGTTAGTGTTATGTAGTGTTTTTGTATTGTATTGTATTGTTCATTTTTTTTGGTAGTGTTTAAATTGTTGGAAAAGTAATAAATATTTTCAAAAAAAAAAAGGGAAAAAAAGAAGGCACTCACTTGTGTGTGTTTTTAAACCAAATATTTAAACGAGACATGAACTGTTTCTTTCGTCTAAAATGAGAATCTATCTATATCTATCTATCTATATCTATCTATATCTATATCTATCATCTATCTATCTATCTATCTATCTATCTATCTATCTATCTATCTATCCAGGATTGCCTTTGACAAAGGCATTCTGTTAGGTGGTGAACCTGTGGCTCTCTAGATGTTGCTCTAAATTAGTTGCATATAACCCACTGGCCTCATTCCACTATTGCTGCAAAAAAAATGCCCCCGGCATCAATATTTCACCATAATCTAGGTTACTTCCAGGAAACTCCATGCCCTTCCCATATACTCAAAAACAGGTTCCATATTATTTTTATGAGGCTCTAAGTAAAGAATACAAAGTATTTCTTCATATTATGTGCAAACTTGGTGTCGAATGGTCACAAGTTTGTTGTGGGGGGGAGGGAAGGCCCCCCAGGTGTGTTGCTGAAGGAAGAACTTCATCATATATCTTGAGCAAGAGGTGACTGGTTTGAGGGATCAAAGATTTCACAACTAGGGGTGGTAGCAAATTACTTGATAGAGTATAAAAGGTGGGTTCTTCATAGGACTGTTCACCACACCTTGGCTCATCTTAGCTCTCTCGTTATTCCCATTAATCACCGTCTGAGGTAAGTTGAAGACAACGGGGAGGTTTCCTTGTCTGATTTTGTAGGTTTCAGCCTTTGTGTTGGAGATAGGATGCTACTTGTTTTTCAGGGTATTTGCTGATGCTACAGGAACACCTGCATGGTCTCCCATTCATCATCTTTATTTCACCTGGGTCAGAGACTCAGTTTGGCGTGCGCGCACAGACACAGAGACTGGAAGCCTCAGTGGCACCCCTCTGGAGGCTTCATCCAGGGCAAAAAACCTGGCTAGCTCCCTTTAGCTACAGCTCTGCCCCTGACCATCAACCATGGTGGCTTGGGCTGATACAAGTTGGAGTCCCAAGTCACAGGTCCATCTAGCCGAGTACTTTCTGCACCAGACTAGAGAGCCCATCTATCTGGGATTGTCTCTAATGAAGTTGTTCAATTAGTGCAAGGATTTCCACTAGTGTAATGGAGCTCCTCTCCTCTACTTGTCACCCCCATCAAACCTGTTGTGGATGTTCTACCAGCCCTACAGAGGAGGTCCGAGGAGAGCACAGGAAGAGCACAGGGAGATTAAGTTCCATCATTCAAGTGGAAATCCTTGCACTAACTGAAAAACTTTTTTGGATCTGGAGCAATATATTTCAGACTAGACTTAGCAGTGCCTATGGTTTTACATTCTCTTGAATCTTGTTGCACCAGTGCATCATGAAAACTCCTTAATTTCTCAAGGCTGTCTCTCCACTCTGCATCCAACTGTATTAGTCAATTTTTCCTTCCTTCCTTCCTTCCTTCCTTGTCTCCAGACTTTGTTTATCCAGTCTTCAGTGGTTGGAGTCATTCTATTTTCCCAGTCATGGCAGATAGTTATTAAATATTAAATTGATATTAAAGGAGACATTTAATGGACTTTTTTGCATTTATTCTTATGCTCTTCTTATGTCTATTTAGGTTACCAACAGAAAACCTTCAAAATGTCCAAGTCCAAGACTCAGATGCAAGTTCTGGCCGATGGGCTGATTGACCTCTTCCATAAGTATTCTGGGAAATCTGACACCATCGACAAGAAGGAGTTCAAGAAGATGATCAACGAGCAGTTTCCTGACTGCGTTGAGGTGAGGTGGAGATAAGATGGGCGTGGGCAATTGTTGGGCACTTGAAGTCAGAGGTGACACATTGGCATCAATGTGCAGCATGCCTCTGGGAATGTTAAGATAGTGATCAGCACCTCAGCAAGGCAGCACTTGGAAGTGAGCTAGGCTACCCTGTTAGCGAAGTATATTTAGGGATGGATGGATACGTCCATTTCAGTGGGTATCATTTTTTCGTTTTCTGTTAAATCCAGTTCTCCACATTTTGAACATGTATTAAAAAAATTAAATCCTCTTTTGGCAAAGCAATTTCCCCTTATAATGATTTTTTTTGGTATGCTATTTTTACTAATCTATTTTAAACACACTTTGCCATAGTAAAAAAAAAGAGTGAGTAGTAGTAGTAGTAGTAGTAGTAATAATAATAATAATAATAATAATAATAATTTTTATTTATACCCCGCCCTCCCCAGCCAAGGCCGGGCTCAGGGCGGCTAACAAGCAATAATAAAAACAAATTGAATGAACACAATGTATATAGTACATGCATTTCTTAACACTTAGCTGGATAAGTACATTCCAGAATCTGAAGAAAGGTGAATTTGGCAGGGTGAGATTCAAATGTGAACTGGATTGGATTTCTCCCCTGTAGATAGATATAGATATATAGATATACATCTCAGGAGATTTGGGGGCTCAGGCTTCTCAGACATTCCTGAGAGCCAGTGTGGTGTAGTGGTTAAGAGCAGTAGCCTTGTAATCTGGGGAACCAGGTTCGCGTCTCCGCTCCTCCACGTGCAGCTGCTGAGTGACCTTGGGCCAGTCACACTTCTCTGCAGTCTCTCAGCCCCACTCACCTCACAGAGTGTTTGTTGTGGGGGAGGAAGGGAAATGAGACTGTTAGCCGCCTTGAGACTCCTTAAAGGGAGTGAAAGGCGGGATATCAAATCCAAACTCCTCTTCTTCTTCTTCATTCTCAGATAAAGTCTCTGAGAAAAGCAATGCTCCATGAGACCTAAAGCCCAATTAGTCTAGCATCTGGCTCTCACAGGGCCCAACCAGATGTCTCTGGGAAGCTTACAAGAAGAAGCTGAGCACTAAAAGAGGAATATACCCCCCTTTAAATGACCTGATTATTAAAAGAGAAAGTTTTCTTTTCCTTTTAAAATATTCTGCATTTTGAACTCCTTTATGTTGCTGTTCATTTGGGTCTGCGTTCAGCTTCTGCTGATGTTACTTTGCATTAATACCATTCTGTTAAACTGGTAGTGGGGAAATTTTCAGTCCTCCGGTTGTGGCTGAACTACAACTCCCATCAGCCCCGGCAAGTATGGCCAATGACCAGGGGTGAGGATGGGACGTGTAGTCTTGATGATGTCAAGAGGTTCTCCCCATCTATGGCAAACCTTTGTTTCGCGATGGTCTGATGTCTTAGATGCATATCAACAAATTTCAACCTGAAACCTTTTGTTCCTCCATTCCTTCTCCTCCCTACAGTACCCACAAAATCAGCAAGGGAAAGACAAGCTCTTCAAAGACCTGGATACAAACAAAGATAACGAATTGAGTTTTGAAGAATGGACCCGTCTGGTTGGGTCATTCCTCTCTTGCTCCCACGTTAAGTTCCACCAGCATGAGGGACATCACCACCACCACTGAGAAGAGACCCAGCAGGTCCTCCAGGGGACTGTGGTCAGGGGCATGTTGGATACCAACCTTCCAAACAAACAAAGACCCCCTGCCCATATCCCCTGGCTTGAAATGTAATGTTTTGGCAATAAAATAAGAAATAATCATTTAACTTGGAAAGTCTAGGATGTCTTACTTTTTGGGGTGACAAGGCAGTTTGAAACAGGTTTTGAGTGCAGCGGGGGAAGGTTGTGTTAGTTTTCTGGTTCTGGCTTCCATGCTGTATTCATCTCTGCGACTTCTGCTTTTTACAACAACCCCTCAGTGTGACTCCATTCCTACTTGACTCACAACTCTGCCAAGTATGTTGCCCTTGTAGAACGCTCTGCTGAGTCCCTGCAACATTCTTAGATGATAATAGGGACATCAGCATTTGAGGAATGTTGGAGGGTATGCAATGTTTTTATGGGATCAGAGGCCTTTCAGGAAATACCTAAAATCAAATATTAAGCCAAGTGATGCTCAGAAACTGGATGAGGCCAAAGGGAACGGGCACTGAAAAGCTAGCTTTGCAAGGCTTTGCTTCAGCCGCATTCCCCTTCCTTGCAGTTGCTCACTTAGAAATGTAGAAGCAAGTTGATTCTTTGTAAAACAGCCAGCAGATGAGATTAACCCCGCCCCCACCTGATGCTTGAAGAAAATAGAATCTCTCACCAAATAAAAAGAGGAAGACAAAAACAAAGGGAAGCATACAAACACACACAGGGACGTATGTGTGTGGGTCTCCCTCTCGGGAAGTAATTTAAAATCCTCTCAATATACTTAAATATGGGGGAGGAAAAAGCACTACTGCAGGGTCACCGGTTGGAGGAGGAGAGGAAGAGCGTGAACGCAAAGGAGAGGAAAAGGGAAGAGGGAGGGAAGAAAGGAGGAAAGTGAAAGGTGAAGGAGAAGGGTGGAAAGCGGAGAAGGATGTAGGGAGAAAAGGAGGAGGTTAAATATAAAAAGGAAGGATGGAGTAAGGGGACAATCATGGTAATGGATGGAAGGAGAAGTGGGTGTATGGAATAAAGGAAAAGAGCTGAGGAAAGGGAGGGAGAAAAGAAGGGAAGGGGAGGGAAAGAGAAAGGAGGATGGGACAGGGAAGGCAACCAGAGGATGGATAAAAGTAATGAAGGATGAAGAGGAAGGCAGGAGCAGGAGGACACTGTGTTCTACATAGAGCCATCGATTGCTACTTGTAGCCAATGGTAGTCCTACTCAGAGTAAACCCATTGTAATACACATTGTTCACGTCAGTCTGTGTGTTTTAGCAGGGTCTCCTCTGGGTATAAGTTGGCTGCATATGACCCATGGAAATCATTCCAACCATTGCAGAAAAGAATGCACCCAGCGTTCCATATTGTGCAAGAATGCATGCCGTTTTCAGAAACTTCGGGCCCCACCTATATCTACAAAACGGTTTAACCACAATGTGATTAATGAGTTCTAAGAAAGCAATGAAAAGTGATGCCGCACCATGGGTGTAAACCTGTTGTTCCTAAATGATGAACAGTGATTGGCCACAAGCTGTAGGGAGGGAGCCCCAGCCCCCAGGGGTGCCTTGCTGAAGGAAGATCTCCATCAGATACCTTGAGCACCATGTGGTCAGGGTTAACTGGTTCAACATGGGAGTGTCATTTGAGAAAGAGCTAAGATTTCATAAGTGGGGGGTGGGAGCAGAAATCTAGATGGGGTATAAGAGGTGGGAGCGATTTAGGGCTCTTCATCCAACTTTGGAGCATTCAAACTCTCTTGTTTATCACCAACCAAGGTAAGCTGAAGACTATGGGAAGCTTTCTTGGGTTCTTGTTGGGTTATACATTGGACACAGGGTGATAAATCTTCTTGAGATTATCAGCTAGGGCAGGGATGAAAAACCTGTAGGCAAGAATCCAGATGTTCTGGACTCCAGCTCCCACCAGCCCTAGTCAGCGTTGTCAATGGACAAGGATGACAAAGTCCGGCAACATCTGGTGGACTGTAGGTTCCCCGTCGTTGCAGTAGCTCTAACACAATTCAAGGTGCTCACATAGGTATTTAAAGCCCTAAATGTCTCACTCGTTCCCTGCAGAACCTCTCAAGTGATATGGTCTTTGTAGGTCTATCACTCTCTGGAGTTCGGTTGGTGATGGTGGCCTGGAGAAGACCTTCTCTGTGGCAGCCCCTTAGTTGTGAATCTCCTTCCACAAAGAGGTTCATCGTAGAATATTAGAGTTGGAAGGGACCCAAAGGTTCATCTCGTCTAATTCCTTGCAATGCAAGAATCACAGCTAAAGCATCCATTGTAGATGACCATCCAACCTCTGCTTAGAAACCTCCAAGGAAGGAGTCTACAACTTCCTGAAGGAGTCCATTCCACTGTCAAACAGCTCTTACTGTCAGAAAGTTATTCCTGTTTAGTCGGAATCTCCTTTCTTTAACTTGAATCCATTGGCACATCCAGCACCTTCATTATACAGCTTCCAGTGTAGATGCACCACTTTATGCTGGCTTTTGACACTTGTAAGTTGCTTTAAATGGGTTTTAATATAGTGCTTTAAGGTTGAAACCTGTCTTGGGACCTTATGGGAAAAGGTGGAGAATAATGACAATCTCAGTACTTTGTGAGTACAGTGGAACCTCCGATTGCGGACATAATCCATGATGGAGGCATGTCTGCAACTTGCAGCGCCGTGTCGGCACACGCGTGGAGCTTTCCTCTCCCCTCCACCAAATCTGTTCTGGGAGTTCCCCCAACCCTCTGGAGCAGATGTAGGGTGGGGAGCCTAGGGAGATAAGGTAAAGTTCTGTTATGTGAGTTGAGATTCTTCTGCTAACAGAATAACTTGGAGATGTCCAGACCAAGATATTTAAGAGTATCCCTGGCAGCATCTATAGATTTACATTTAACAACAACCATCTCCTTGCACTCTGTTGCACCAACGCATTATGAAAACTCTCCATTTCTGAAGAAAACAATTCCAAGGCTGTCCACTCTCTTTGCCCCTGGCTGTATTAGTCAATTTCACCATGTTTACTAGGTCTCCAGATTTTGCTTATCTACTTGAGATATTTATCTTTATATTTTTGAGTTTTTCGAGTTTTGACAGATAGGCAGAAAACATGTATTATCCTTTTCTACAAAAAGAAGTGCTGGAACTCACCGTGAATGCCTCACTTGTTCTCTTATTATGGCAGTGGCGCCCACCTGACTTTTCCTGAGTTCTGGCACAAAAAACTCCTTGTGTATCGCAATTTAAGGCTGGATCTTTAACAAAGTAAAAAACGAAAATAACGGACAGGTTTGTCAGGAGTGCACATCCTGGGGTTATTTCCATTTCCCTTATTGCATGATGTCAAAATTACATTCTTTTAAGATAGTCCCCAATACATGTTGCATGTTTGCAGTAGAAACTTGGGTAAGTAGATAATGCAATCAATGAATATGTAAGTAGTTCTACAGGTAAGCCATCTGAACAACACTTAAATGAACTAAATAAAAAACAGAATTCAAATGGAGAGCTGTCCTGTGCTAAGTAGGACACATGGACGCTCTATTCTTAATCCTGAAGAATTATAAAATCAAAGATTTGGAAGGGACCCTGAGGATCATCTAGTCTCAACTCCCAGCAGTGCAGGAATATGCAGCTGCCCCATATGGGTATAAAACCAGCAGCCTTGCTGTTATCAGCACTACGCTCTAACCAACTGAGCTATCCAACAAATAATCCAGGCAGAGCCGCTCATGTGTTCCTATGAATTCCCAGGTTGCTACCAGAAGCCCTTCAGAATGTCCAAGCCCAAGACTCAGTTGCAACAACTTGCTGAACAATACATAGAAATCTACCACACGTACTCTGGGAATTCTGACAGCCTTGACAAGCAGGCATTTAAGAAGATGCTGGACGAGCAGTTTCCTGACACTGATGAGGTGAGAGGGAGATAAGAGGAGGCAGGGGCAAATTCTGGCCACTCAAGGCCCTGGGACACCCATTGGCACCAATGTGCAGGGCTCCTTTGGCCACGTTAAGAGGGGGAGGGGCTGAAATCTCACCAGGTCTCTGCTTTGAAGGTTGCTCAGCTACTCTGAAAACAAAGCATATCTAGGGATGGGCAGATATGTCTGTTTCAGTCACTTTTCAGTCTTAAATCCCGTTCTCCCCATTTGCGCTGCATTTTTTAAAAAAATGTTTACTGTAATTCTTTCCTATTAAAGATATTTTTGTATGCATTTTTGCCCAATATACACATTTTTGCAAAGCACCTTTCCCTAATACGCTGCATTTTTGTATGTTATTATTGTGTAGATATATGGTGTGTGTGTGTGTGTGTGTGTGTGTGTATAGAGTACACTTTACTGTAGCATATGAATTTTTATATGTATTACTTGTGCCTGGGGAAATGCAACAAACACATCTGAAGTCTTCTCTCCTCCATTTCTCCACCCCCAACACTGCAGTCTCCCTTGAAGCAACAAAAGAGAGACCAGCTCTTCGTGGAGGCAGACATAAACAAGGACGGCAAACTGAGTTTTGCTGAAGTGGGACGCCTGGTTGCAAAATTCATCGCTGAAACTCATGAGAAACTCCATAAGTAAGAAGGGCGTCCCCTTGGCCACCAGAAAAAATAGGTCCAGCAAATCCTTCAGGAGACGTCAGGGGCGTGTTGGATACTAACCCTCCAAATATTCACAAACCCCTATCTGCATTCTCTAGCTTGGAATGTAATGCTTTGGCAACAGAATAAGAAATAAACATTTAACTTGGAAATCATTTGGTGTCTTATTGCAACCTCAGTCTGACAAACTGCTGCCTTACTGGCTTTTCTATATTCAAACTCTTTCCTGGGTGACTATGGAAGATTAGCTTCTTCACACACCTCCTTCCATCTTAGAAGTTCATTCCCATCTAGGTCGAGTATTTTAATTTCACAGAAATAGTCGGGATTCGGACGTCAGAAACAGTGTCCGGGAGGAAACCACTGAAATGTCAGAGTGTATGGCAACCCATGTCGATTTGGGCGAATTTAATTTAAAATAGCTCAGAAACTTCCTTTTATTTTTGAGATCTTGCAAAACTAAATAAAGCTTAACCCCCCCCAAACCCCCAACAAACTTTTTCTGGAATATGGCAACCCTACTATACCTACAAGCAACGCTTGGTGTGGTTGTTGGAGTGTTGGAACCAAGAGCAGTGGTGCAGTATTTGGGGGTGGGGAGCACAGGGCCAGTCGCCCCAGGAGCAAAATTGTTAGGGGGCATAAAATTAACACCCAGTTCTGCCTCAGTACAGCTGTGCGCTTTCATTCCCGGGCTCCACTGAAAACGGCTTCTCCATGCAAACCAAGAAGGGACCTTTCCAGACAATGGAACGACTCTTTCCTTACTTATCTCTATGGCTGCAGTCTCTTGGTTGACATGGACACTGTTAGGCAGCTGACTGCATATGCGTATTCCATTTCTCTCTCCCTCCCTCTCTCCCAGTCTGCATGGCCCTGTGTGCTGGTAACCCATGTTATGCCACTGCCTGAGAGTCCAGGCTTCAAAACTCCACTCAGCTATGAATCTTTGTGGGTGTGACCTTGGGGCACTCACTGTCTCTCAGCTTAACCTAGCATGCGCGCGCGTGCCGGGGTGTGTGTGTGTGTTATGAGGATATAACAGGGAGCAGGAGAAGCCACTATAGTCACCTGGAGCTACTTAGGAGGTAAAAACTGGGAGACCAGAAGCAGGTGGAACCAGATTCTTTTAAAATAAATTTTATTTGCAATCTTCACTTTTACAAGTTTTCACCTTTACATTCACCAACAGAAACCAATAAACCATCGACTTCCCTTTCCCCCTTCCATAGTCCATTCTGGTTATCCCCTGCTGCTGCATATTCTAATTCACGGGTACGCAAACTAAGGCCTGGGGGCCGGATTCGGCCCAATTGCCTTCTAAATCCGGCCCGCGGACGGTCCAGAAATCAGCATGTTTTTACATGAGTAGAATGTGCGCTTTTATTTAAAATGCATCTCTGGGTTATTTGTGGGGCATAGGAATTTGTTCATTTTTCCCCTTCAAAATATAGTCCGGCCCTCCACAAGGTCTGAGGGACAGTGGACCGACTCCCTGCTGAAAAAGTTTGCTGACCCCTGTTCTAGTCATTCCATGTTAATTCTTTCTCATTATGTCACAACTTAATTATATACTGCTAGTTCTTCTAACATTTTAACTTGTTTACAGTTATCCTTCAAATATTCTACAAACCTTTTCCACTCTTCCTTAAATGCTTCCCCCCCCTTCCTGTTCTGTTAGTTAAACTTCCCATTTCTGCATAATCCATCAATTTCCACCCCCATCGTCCAGCCCAGACACTGAGATCCAGCACCGAGGGCCTTCTGGCGGTTCCCTCATTGCGAGAAGTGAGGTTACAGGGAACCAGACAGAGGGCCTTCTTGGTAGTGGCACCCACCCTGTGGAATGCCCTCCTATCAGATGTGAAGGAAATAAGCAGCTATCTTATCTTTCAAAGACATCTGAAGGCAGCCCTGTTTAGGGATGTTTTTAATATTTAATGCTGCATTGTTTTTAACACTCGATTGGGAGCTGCCCAGAGTGGCTGGGGAAACTCAGCCTGATGGGCGAGGTATAAATAATTATTATATAATTTCGTCTGCCGTTCTTCCTATGTTGGTAACTGCTCCCTCCCTCCATTTCTGAGCAGCTGGAACCAGATCCAAGAACTGGCAGAACCAACGAATTCTAGTTTTGTCTCCATCATCGTTCTCCTTACTGACATCCCCAAGGGCAACACTGACACCTAGAGAGGAGGCAGTTGACAGGCAGGACAAAGCCCAGGGCTGGTTGATAGTAAGAACACAAGTAGACTCCTGCTGAGAGCAGAGGTTCCAAGTTCCTGGTCTGCTGTGAAGCTCTCTGTGTGTGACCTTCAATATCTTGAGTCCCCCTTCCTATCAGCGCACAGAAAACACGTTCAATGATTCTTCAGAAACACAGCAAATACATTTCCTTTGCTCATAATAACCGAGTTAGACATAACAATATGGTTAAAATCAACGCCGCACACAGGAAGAAGAACTTGCGAATCACAAATTAAATGCGTCAACATGAATTGAAGTTAAAAATATTGTAGCTGTTGCATAAGGGATTACTATTAAGATTGGACTGTAATTGGATTGAATAATAGTTTGAAAGCAGAATTAAAGGGAATTATTCAACCTTGAAATCTAGCACATGGGGGCCCACCTAAATTATGTAATTGGCTATTTGATTGATTGGTATTTGAATTCGTATTGATAAGGCTAATGTTGGATTTTTAAGATGGAAAACTAATAAAAATTATTACCCCCCAAAAAAGAAAATAACCATGAAGTTAATAGCATACGATCCTCATAAAATATTGACATAATGGCAAAATATTAGATAAGCTGAGAAACCCTAATTAAATCTCAATTACCCAAATCAGCAAGGCTAGAACTGAACAAGCAAAAGGTGCTGTGCTCAAAGGAAGCAATAATTACACTCAATTTTTTCCTTTGAAGGATATAATTTTTTCTTACCTTTCTCAATTATCAAAGAAAAACAAGACCGCATGCCACAAAAGATCCAGCTTTATGTGAGGATTTGATAAAACATATGCCCCCAATACATACCTTGCAACTTCTGCAACAACTTTGATTAAACAAAGCCTAGTATCTCCAAAGTAAAATAAGGTTAGAAGCATCTTAAGAAAACTACATCAGATGCAAACATTTGCTGCTTTTAATAAATCGTATCAGTTGTGCAGACTTGTTATCGAAACCCAAGTTGTACAAGAATGTGTTTGGCTCACATTTGAGTGTGCTAAAAGTATCCAGGTGAAAAATAACATTCGTTTCATCTATGAGCTGGGGATAGAGAAAGTTGGGCCAAGTCAAGATTTTCTTTTTGTAACAAGAGATATAAGGCTATAGGTTCAAGATAGGGAACAGGGAGTAGCGATATTCCAGTGTGGCTTCCCTCTGAAGGCCAGGACAAATATAGAAAGGCACCTTTTATTCCCATTTTAATAAATGTAATGGTGCCTAGGGGTAAGAAACCAGCCGAAATGGGTGCAGAACTGAGGATATTCACCACAGTTCTAGACAGTGCTTTTTCCTGGGGAGACGCATATCTCTAAACATTTTGTGAATCTAAGTTTGGCCTCATTGAGGGGCAGTATTTCAATATGGGGAGGAAAATGAGAGTATCCCTAAATATTTTTTTAAGGAAAAAAACACTGGTTCTAGACCTCACAGAAAGCAGACCTATAAGGAGTGCCTCACAGTGCCAACTTGAATTAAAAAAATGTTGGGCCCAGGTAAGCCCAGCCCTGCAAAATCGATCACATAACACAGCACATGCAGACCATTTGAATGGAAATGTCCATCGACTTGGGGTGCATGCTGGCTTCCTCACATATTTTATTGGGGAGGCAAAGGGACCTCAGCCCTTAGGAGTTGGCTCCTTCTTCCCAGGGCCAGATTTAGGTTTGATGAGGCCCTAGGCTACTGAAGGTAATGGGGCCCTTCATATGTCCAGCTGTCCTTTGCCAACAACAAATTGTCACTCTTTTTTGTGTTGAATATATGCTATATGGTAATTTACGGACCCAATAGGTATCTAAAGCCATTTGCACATGTTGTCCATGCAGAATGTAGGCACCTTATATATAGAAATGAGCAAACCAGTGATATTTCAGGGAGCAGGCTAGCAGACGGGGCCTATTACTTACATCATAGGCACCTACACAACACAAAACACTGTTGCTGTATGTAGGTTTTATTTTATTTTTTATCTTATATTTTGGAAATGTACATCCAGTCCCCCCCCTTTAAATTGTCAACAACAAAAGTCAACAACAAATTGTCACTGTTTTTTGTGTTGATTATATGATACATGGTAATTTATGGACCTAATAGGTATCTAAAGCCATTTGCGCATGTTGCCATGCAACCAGTCCATGCAGAATGTAGGCACCATACATATAGAAAGGAGCAAACCAGTGATATTTTGGGAACAGGCTAGCAGGCGGGGCCCATGACTTACATTATAGGTGTCACGGTCTGGTTCACGGGCGATCAAAGTCCCAGCTGGGGATGTCAGGGCCGGGGGCGAGATGGCAGGGTGGGAGCAGGAACGGGAGTCCAGAAGCCAGGAGTCAGGAAGCCAAGGGTCCGAGGGTCAGGAAGCAAGGAGTCACGAAGTCAGGGGTCCGAGGATCAAGAAGCAAGGACTCACGAAGTCAAGGGTCCAAGGATCAATAAGCAAGGAGTCAAGGAGCCAAACGCAGCAGGGCAGTGAATGTGTTGCTGTGGAAAAGAGCCGAAGGGAAATGCTGACCTTATATCCCTTCCTGGCTCTTGCCACCAGGTGCTGTGAGTTACCAATCGGCCTCACCTGTGCGGCTGCACCTTGCCTCTTCAGAACAAACTTAGGAAGGCCCCAGTCCTGCAAAGTCCTATTGGTCACAGGGTCTGGCTCCTGCACGCACACCTGACAATAGGAGCCTACACAACACAAAACAGGGTTGCTGTATGCAGGTTTTATTTTATTTGGTTTTTATCTTATGCTTTGGAAATGTACACCCAGTTCCCCCCCCTTTAATTTTTTTGGGGCCCCCAAGAGAGTGGGGCCCTAAGCTATAGCTTGTTTAGCTTATACGTAAATCTGGCACTGCTCCTATGCCTCACAGGGCACGTAGATGTGGTGCTGGTAAATGGCAGGCCATGTCTGGCCATGACTTGCAGGCAGGAATGTCTACCCAACCCTGAGTCGTGCTGGTGCATGAATCTCTCAAGTGAAAACAACACCCCAAAATGCATTGTTGACAAGCTAAACTGTGTGCAGAGGAGGGTGACGAAGATAGCAAAGATCCTGGAAACCAAGTTTTATGAGGAACGGTTGAGGGAGTTTGGTATGTTTTAGCCTGGAGAAGAGAAGACTGAGAGGGGATGTGATAGCCATCTTCAAATATTTGAAGGCCTATCTCATGGAAGATGGAGCAAGCAGGGGTTGGATGGTCACCTGTCAGGGATACTTCAGTTGTGATTCCTGCATTGCATGGCGTTGACCTCTGTGACCCTTGACATCCCTTCCAGCTCGACAATTCCTATTGGGAAAGATGCTCAGCTATAATATGTGCGTTAGGTCAAACTGCGCTGAGCAATGGGTGTATTAGGAGAAATGGAGATGGGTTTTCATGGGGGCTTCAGCAAACAAATAAATCACCCGCTGGTGTGGAAATACGGTATACAGAACGGAAGACTGGAGAAATGAGGAACTGGAATTGGTAGATAAGCCCATCCCTCGTTGTAGCCAGTAGTTGTTTTTGCCTCAGAGAAAGCCTATTGGCATGAATAGACATGAATGCCTCAGGTCTATTCACTCCAGTAGGTTTCCACAGAGTGTAAGTTGGTTGCACATAACCCACTGAACTCATTTCATCACAGCTGCAAATTTTTTTACCCAGCATTAAAGGTTGCACAACACTTAGTGTAGCTTCCAGGAAGTCCCAGGGCCACCCATGCTCTCAGCAGCAAACCGTCTTAATTAATTTATCTTCATTACATTCTAGGAAGCATAGAAAGAAAAAATATTGCGGCTGTGGAAAGGAAAGTATGTTATAATAATAATAATAATAATAATAATAATAATAATAATTTATTATTTATACCCCGCCCATCTGGCTGGGCTTCCCCGGCCACTCTGGGCGGCTTCCAAAAGAATATTAAAATACTATAATACATCAAACATTAAAAGCTTCCCGAAACAGGGCTGCCTTCAGATGTCTTCTAAAAGCCTGGTAGTTGTTGTTCTCTTTGACATCTGGTGGGAGGGTGTTCCACAGGGAAGGTGCCACTACCGAGAAGGCCCTCTGCCTGGTTCCCTGTAACTTGGCTTCTGCAGTGATGGAACCGCCAGAAGGCCCTCGGTGCTGGACCTCAGTGTCCGGGTAGAAAGATGGGGGTGGAGACGCTCCTTCAGATATACTGGACCAAGGCCGTTTAGGGCTTTAAAGGTCAGCACCAACACTTTGAATTGTGCTCGGAAACGTACTGGGAGCCAATGTAGGTCTTTCAAGACCGGTGTTATGTGGTCTCTGCGGCCGCTCCCAGTCACCAGTCTAGCTGCCGCGTTCTGGATTAGTTGTAGTTTCCGGGTCACCTTCAAAGGTAGCCCCACGTAGAGCGCATTGCAGTAATCCAAGCGGGAGATAACCAGAGCATGCACCACTCTGGCGAGGCAGTCCGCAGGCAGATAGGGTCTCAGCCTGCGTACCAGATGGAGCTGGTAAACAGCTGCCCTGGACACAGATTTGACCTGTGTCAAATATATACACTTGAAAGAAACGGACTGACACAACGTAAGATGGGCAGCTGATAAAAAACTGAAGAAAAGCACCATAAAGAGTAGGAAAAATATATATATCACACACACACCCTACCACTGCAGTGTATCGCATATCCAAAACATATCCACCAGGCAGGTAAGCATGTTATTCATTCTCCCAGGATCGATGAGTTAAAAACAAATTACAAAATTTATACATAAAAATTCAAATGTATTTTACTGTTTTAGAAATATATCACATGAAAAGGAAAGGTGTGCCTACATCAAATAAAACTTATTGTATAGCGGTAACAGGGGTTCATAGAATTGTAGAGTTGGAAGGGACCCTGAGAATCATCTAGCCCAGCGGTTCTCAACCTGTGGGTCCCCAGATGTTGTTGGACTACAACTCCCATCATCCCTGACCACTGGTCATGCTGGCTAGACATGATGGGAGTTGTAGTCCAACAACATCTGGGGACCCATTCTAGCCCAACCTCCTGCAATGCAGGAATACAATGCAGCTGTCCCATATGGGGATTTAACCTGCAACCTTGGGGTTACCATCACTACGCTCTAACCAGCTGAGCTACGCTGATATTGCTCTTCAATATTAGTAAATGCTATAAACTCAGACCACACCACAGTAAACATATCTTTCTCAATCTGACCCTGTACCCTAGGAGCAGGGCCGTCTTTTAGCATATGAGCTGCTGGGGGTGCAAAGATCCACCCAGCGCCCCCAAATTAACTATTATTGAGCTTTTTTTGGGAGGGGGGAAGCCAAAGTTGTTGACCTTTTTTCAGGGGGGAAATTGCTCGCCTGTAACGATGACACAGTGGAAGAAACTGCTTTTGTTTCCTGACTCATTGGGAAATATTTGATGCTACGTAGTAACGGAGTGATGGGGGTGGGAACTTTCGCTCCATTGCTTTTCACTGCCGCTGATTGAGAGGGACCGGTATATAGTACATATACAGTGGTGCCCTGCAAGACGAATGCCTCGCAAGACGGAAAACCCACTAGACGAAAGGGTTTTCCATTTTTGAGTTGCTTCGCAGGACGAATTTCCCTATGGGCTTGCTTCGCAAGATGAAAATGTCTTGCAAGTCTTGAGATTTTTTTTTCGCTTCCCCCCCCCTTTATCTAAGCCGCTAAGCCTTTAATAGCCTTTTAGCAGCTAATCCGCTAAGCCGATAAGCCTTTAATAGCCGCTAAACCGCTAATAGTGCTAATCCGTTAAGCCGCTAATAGGGTTGCTTCGCAAGACGAAAAAACCGCTAGACGAAGACACTCGCGGAACGGATTAATTTCGTCTTGCGAGGCACCACTGTACATTTGGCCCCCACCAGAATCTGGCGCCTGAGGGCCCTGCACCCCTTGCACCCCCGGGTAAAGACGGCCCGGCATAAGAGCCAACTCCTAGGTTGAAGGGCATTACCATTCAAATGGTGTGCATGTGCCACATCATGCGATTGATAATGTGGGGCGGGGTTTACCTGGGGCCCACCCCAATATTTTATTTTGTTCAGTATTTTTATTCAACCCTGCTCTGTATAACCCTCATCTTGTTTGTTAATTTTCCTAAAAGCACATTGCGCAGTCCCATACCGCTTGTTACCAATTTGACAGTGTAGCGCCTGATAAATATTTTCAATGCCTAACTATGGGCTTATCCACACTGTCCATTTGCCCAGATCTGCGCTTAGAAGCTCCACATCAGAGCGTTTTGTTTTTGCCCCTCAGCTTCTGCCGAAAAGCTGCTCTTTAGCGTTCCATCGGAGCAAACTTCAATTTGGGTTTTCTGTTTGCTCCGATTGAGCTTTGAAGAGTGTGTTTTCGTGGGGAAAGCCCTGGTAGCAAAAAATAAAGGGTGCTTGGACGTGGAGCTTTTAAGTGTGGACCATGTCCGGGAAGAGTGGAGGAAAACTAAGTGTCGGTAATAATAATAATAATTTATTATTTGTACCCCGCCCATCTGGCTGGGTTTCCCCAGCCACTTTGGGCGGCTTCCAACAAAGATTAAAAATACATTAAGTCCTATAACACTTCTTGCAGCTTGTAACAGATGTCCAGCATGCTCCTTACTGCGTAAGTCTACGTTGCCTTCTGTAGAAAAACTCAATGAAAACAACTGTGGTTCAATCTGTCGCCTTGTTCTTTTATTCATTTCGGTGAAAACGGATAACCCAAATGCTTTCACCTTTAGGCAATCCCACCATGCATGGAAATACCGCAAGTAACAGGAGTGGCATCCTCTCTAATAGTTTGGTGAGGATCCTGGGTGAATCACTGCGAACTTTCTAGGGGGCCAAACTCCACTGATGTATTAATTTCAAAACCCATTCCTGGTTCCTCACTGAAACCGAACTGAAAGGAGGCTTCACCCAGAGTTTGCTCCATTGATCTGACTCCATTTCTTGTTGCCCTTTGATCTTTTTAAAAGAATCTTAAGAGCCTACAAAGGACCATCACAAGATTCCACCCTCCTCCATTATCAGATATTGTTATTTCTTTTTCCAGAAAGGAAGAGTTGTCTACTGGCTACTTTTTGTGCGGAAAAAACCAGCCGGATTTGTCGGAGTTTTACAAAGCTTTCAAAAGGATTGCCTCACAGGCTGTGCAAACAAGGTACTGGAAAATGACAGAGCCTGACTGGCCGTAGCAAGGGGGAAAAACCCTACAGCGGTGTGCAGCTGAAGGAAGAACACAGATATCTTAAGCAAGAGGTGAGTGGTGCAAGAGGGAGATGGCTTGAGAAGGATCAAAGGTTTTGCAACTAGGGTGGGTGGGAGCAGGGATCTGGACAAGGAGTATAAGAAGAGGGGCTGTCACAGGGCTCACCACCACATCTTGGCTCATCCTAGCTCTCTCGTTGATCACCGACCGAGGTAAGCTGGAGAAGAACGGGAGGCCTTCTTGTGTTGCTTTCAGGTTTTAGCTTTTGCATTGGACGTGGGGTGCTAAATCTTTTTGAGGATAGCAGCTTGGGCAGGGATGAAAAACATGTGCCTGTCTGTCTGTCTCTTTCTCTCTGTGGATACCAGATGCTGTTGGATACCAACTCCCAGGCCTTCCCATCTCTAGATAGTCCTCCCTGCAGCAATAGCAGAGAGCATGTTAGAGAGGAGTATTTCTCCTAGATGGACTTGGTGACGTTGATGGGCTCTATCTTCCATCATTCCTGACCATTGGCTATGCTGGCTGGCACTGATGGGAGGTGAGCCCATCTGGAGGGCATCATACTAGCTACCCTGGCTCTAAGGCAAGTCTCCCCAACCTATTTCTTGCTAGCTGTTTGGCATTGCAACTCCCATCAGACCTAACACTGTGGCCAATGGCCAGGGATGATTGGGAAGTCCAAAACAACAGGAGGGCACCTGGTTGGGTTAGGCTGTCTTAGAGCAGAGGCAGTTGTTTTGATGCTCTCCAGATGTTGCTGAACTCTGACACTCATCAACATTGACCATGGACTATTGGAATTGGAAGTCTTAACAGCATCTGGAGGTTCACCAAATTGACTCTGCTTGCTGTATGACAGCCTTTCTCTAACCTGGTGCCTTCTAACTGTTTTGGACCACAACTCCCATCTGCCCTGACATCACGACCCTTGGCCAGAGCTGATGGGAGGGAGCTGGATTCCAAAACATCTGGAGGGCAGAAAGACTGTCCTAAAAGGATTCAGATGGACACCTAGTAGCTGGTGTGAAGAGGTTATGCTCTCCTGATTACGTTTCCTTACTAAGCTAGCATTCTCTGTATTCTCTTGTCTTGAGCAGATTCTTTGCAAGTGTAGGAGAATAGTAGAAGCTAATTTTGGTGGCAGCAAATGGGGAAGAGAGGAGTGTGAGATGCTTTGCCTCATGACCCCAAATACCTTAGCTCAGGTGTGGACAACCTGCTGCTCTCCCAAGGTTGCTGAACTAGAACTCCCATTATCCCTGCTCATCAGCCATGCTTGCTTTTGGACTCCAAAAACATCTGGAGGGAGAAGAATTCCCTACACCTGATTAGCTGATATTGGAAACTTGACACTTTCAATTTGAGAGGGTGTGTGTGTGTTTGTGCGTCAGGCAACAAAATGGCTGGACTTAGCTTTGGTGTGAATTCAGAAATAAGGGTGCGTCCACCAGGGGTGTTTTCCAGATGTTGAGAGAGACAACTCAACACATGTGCTTTTATTTTCATTTCATTTACTACAACACCCCAAAATTTCATTATTTTAAGACAAGCCCAAAATATAAATTGCACGTCTGCATTAGAGAATTAAGCAGCTTTTAAGTAACTTAAATGAACAAGTTAAGTAATAAGATTCAAATTATGTAGGACTCTATTCCTGACCCAGCAGGGCGCCTCTTGCGTTTTTAAGAGTGAAGGAGGTCTCTCATCTTCATGGCCTGACTGTGGACTTCCTGGTGGAATCTGATAGGGTTCTTCTTATGTTCATATGTCTATCTAGGTTGCCAACCGAAAACCTTCAAAATGTCCAAGTCCAAGACTCAGATGCAAGTCCTGGCTGATCAGCTGATTGACGTCTTCCACAAGTATGCTGGGCAATCTGACACCCTCGACAAGCAGGAGTTCAAGAAGATGATCCTCGAGCAGTTTCCCGACTGCGTTGAGGTGAGGTGGAGAGCAGAAGGGCATGGGCAACTGCCGGGCACTTAAAGCCCAAGCTGGAACATTGGCATTAAGGTGCAGGGTATGTTAAGATGGTGAGGGACCAGCGTCTCCCCAAGACAGTGTTTTGAAGCATGTTCAGATGAAAGCAAAGTTTACTTAGGGATGAGTGGATATGTCCATTTCAGTTCCCCTCATGTCCTCCTTTCCCAGTCTGAAATTCAGTTCTCCATACAGCTTTTAAAAAGTATTCTGCTATCTACCAATAAACACACTTTAAAATGCATTTTTGCAGAACACACACCTTTTTTTTTTTTGCAAAGCAATCTTCCCTGTTAGAATGCATTTTTTTTTCACATTACTGTAGTTTAATGCATATACTTTTATATACTTGTACCTATTACTTGGCTGGAGAAACGCATTGCCAAATCCAGAGAACTGAGGATTTCAAGTGATGCCTGAGTTTTGAGTTGCGGACTGCTTGGGAAAGTGCTGGTTTGGTAGATTTGCCTTAAAATGTGAATTGGATCAAATTTCTCCCTCTTCCCTAAGTTTGTGTTCGTGTCTGTGTGTGCGCACACACACTTGTACACACACGGCTCCATCTCTGCTCACTCATCTTGCCAAACCCTCACAGCTCCTTCCACCCCCAACAGGGAATGTGCAAAAGATAGGGGAGTTCAGGCTTACTAAACCTACAGGGTAAGCCCCTCCCCACTCCATTAAGCAGCTCACCTGGGCTGGCCTGCCATTCCTCACCTTGCAGTTCGTGTGGCCCCCTATCAGTGGCTGCTCCAAATGCGGAGCATGTCGACATTCTACATTTTGCTTTATATAGGAAGATACATATGGGGAAGTTGCAGGAGGTAGCGGGGTTCAGGACCTCTCAACCACCTCAAAACAATGCTTCTGAGAAGAGTCTGGTTTCCGGATCATGCCAAAAGCCTGTCTAGCCTAGAATCCTTTTCTCAAATACGTCTATGGGAAGGAAGCCTAAAAGCAGGATGTGAGTCTGGTTCTGAGTTAAATGCCCACCGATGTTACTCTGTGTTAATTTCGTTCTGCTAATCTGAAATACAACTTCCACCCATCTCAGTAAGGTTGGTTAAAAGCCAGGGAGGATGGGATGTAGTTTGTTTTCTCCTGCCCTAGAGAGTAGGACGTGAACCAATGGCTTCAAGTTACAAGAAAGGAGATTCCGACTAAACAGAAGGAAGAACTTTTTGAGAGTGAGAGCTGTTTGACAGTGGAACGGTCGCCCTCAGGAGGTCTCCCTTGGAGGTTTTGAAGCAGATGTTGGAGGGCCACCTGGATGCTTTAGCTGAGATTCCTGCATTGCAGGGGGTTGGACTAGATGATCCTCAGGATCCCTTCCAACTCTACAATTCTATGATTCTAGTCTAATAGTGCCAGGAGGGCCACAGTTTTGTTTTCTGATAGCAATAAACTTCTACTCTCAATCCCTGCAGTGTCCACGTAAGAAACAAGCGAAGGAACAACTCTTTAATGAGCTGGATACAAACAAGGACAACGTAGTGAATTTTGAGGAATGGACCCGCCTGGTTGGAAGATTCCTCCATTGCTCCCATGAAAAGTTCCACCAACAACATGGCGGACAGCAGCAGCAGCAGCAGCAGCCACAACAACAGTGAGAAGGAAACCCAGCAAATCCTTCGGGAGATGGTGCTCAGGGGCCTGTGGGATGACAACCTTCTTAACACCCACCCCCTCCTTCCTACATTCTCTAGCTAGGAACGGAAACTTTTGACAATAAAATAAGAAATAAATATTTCACTTCGAAATCCTCAGATGTGTCATTTCTTCCCAGCTTCGGCAAGCTGTTGTCAAATGGGCTTTTCTGCACGGTATTCAAGCTCTTCTGTGGGAGAGGACAAGAGAGTTGCATTTTCACCTACCTTATAAGTTCATTCATAGAATCATAGAGTTTGCTGGGGAAGGGACTCTATGACTCATAGAATCATAGAGTTTGCTGGGGAAGGGTCCCTATACCCAGAAGCATCCCCTGCTGCGGTGGTTGCATCTTAGGACCTGGGAGACCAGAGTTCAGATGTCCACCTAGCCATATAGCTTTCTGGGTGTGGCATTGGGCTGTTTCACTGTCTCTCAGCCAAACCCAGCATGCATGGGTGGTTGTCAGGATGGCAGATAGATGGTAGATAATTTTATTACGGTTGGAGACCAGCTTATTGTCAGGATGTAACTAGGAGGGGAAGAACCATGTATGGTCATCTTGAGCTTAAGAGCCAAAGGCAGGTGGGACCAACGAATTCTAAGACTTCCCCATACTTCTCCTCTCTGCTGAGTTCCGTGGGGCTGGTGCCCATTGCAACCAGTGGCGCTAGCAGCAAGTGCAGGCTAAACCAAATAATTCTAGCTTAAATCCCCAAAGTTTAAACTCCCCAGTCTTCCTGATGCCTTCTGGATGTGAACTCACATTCTCTCAGCCTAACCTGCAGTGTGTGTGCGTGTTTCTCAGGATATAACAGGGAGGGGGAGAACCACGTGTGGCCGCTTTGAGCTGCTTGGAAGGAAAAACGGGACACACATGTATTAATAGGGAGACCAACTAAGGGCTCATCCAAACATCTAGACTCGGTGTCTGAGCATTTCTGTTTGTTTGTTTGCCTTTTGCTTCAGTAAATCCGAGCAAACGACAATACAAGGAAAACCCGAATTGCTGTTTGTTCCAATTGAGCGTTAAAGAGCGGGTTTTCCTGGTGAAAGCTTCGGGGTGGGGGTGAGAAGCGCCCAGACACAGAGATTTAAAGTGCAGGCCCAGAAAGAGAGTGGTAAAAGATAAGTTTGGATGAGCCCTGTCTAGTTTTGTCCCCACCCTCCTCTTCCCTACTGAGTTATTCACAAGCCAACACTAGTGGGGTAGGAAAGCTTGGGGGAGGGGAAATCACACCTGACAACCAATGTGTTTCAGATAGCACATGGGACCCCTGACCACTAGGTCCGGTCGTGGCCAACTCTGGGGGCAGGAGAATGCAAGAGAGCAGCGTCGGGGTTTGCAAACATCAGCAGGAAACATGCACTGATTCAGCTGGATGTAAAGTGGCAGATGATGAGGACAGGAGGCCACAGATTGGAGGGGTTTCTTTGTGCATCCTGTTTCGGGTAAGGCTGGGAAATGGCCGAGTAGTGGGATGAAGATGGAGAGGAAGGCGACAGATGCCACAGAAGAGATTGTTTTTTTGAAAGCCGTGAAGATTTCCAAAATCTATCCCTGGATATAGGAGTTTTGGATTAACTTCTCATTTTTTCTTCGGCGCACATTTGGGATCTTGGGATCTTGGAAGGGTAATCTTACAGGGCGGAAACATGACTGGGGGGCTGTGGTTGTTATTTTCCCAGAATGCCTCTGGGTCAGGGCCCAGAGGCATTATGGGGTAGTGAAGATGGCGGTAGCTGTGGCCATCTTCCCAAGCACTTCTCCTTTTCCCCCGAGCTCTGAATAAAGGAGGGTCTGCTTTGGAGCCTGTTCGGTTGGCTATGCTATGAAGTCCCTGCTTTGGGGCTTCCAAGCACCAAATCACCTAAGGTCATTTGCAACATCTGCTGATTGGCAGGTGTGTGGGGCCACCCACCTGTCAAATTTGGTCCGTGAGGCAGGATCTGATAATTATTATTATTATTAAGCAACTACTCTATTCCAAACTTAAAAATGGAAAGCATAATGCACCAAAAGAGGTTTAAAGACTGTCTCAAGGCAAATCTTTAAAAATGTAGTATATATATATTTTTTATATATAAAATATTTATTAAAGTTTCAAAAATAAAAAAAGAAGTTACAATAGTAATAATAAGAAAAAGAAAAAAAAGAAAAGAGTAAAAAAAAGAAAGAAGAGAATACAAAATACAAAAAAGTAAAAACAATTAAAAACAAATCAATCTTTCCATATCTTGTCTTTCATTCACTTGTTTCCCTGACCTCCTCACACCTCCCCTTTTTGTACTCCTGTTCAGTAAGTTAATTCAGCAAATCCTTTCCCTCTTTGTTTTTATCTTAGTCCTTTGTCTTAATATGTAATAACTGTATATTCTCATCTGTTAGCAATCCATTTTTACATACTCCTTGTAACATTGCTACTAAAAACCCCTTAGCTTCATTCCAACATCATTCTAACATTCATTAATTTTACAATATTTCTGTAGATAGTCTTTAAATTTCTTCCAATCTTCTTCCACCAACTCTTCTCCCTGGTCTTGGATTCTGCCAGTCATTTCTGCCAGTTCCATATAGTCCATCACCTAAAAATGTAGTATAAACACTGACAAGTGGGGTCGGCTTTGAAGACACTCGAACTCAGGATGCAAGGGAGAAACGTGCTAAGAGGAAGCCACGCTGGGCAAATCCACACACTCCCGCCCGGAAACTAATGTCCCCACTGAGGAAGGACATGTGGATCCAGAATTGGCCTCCACAATCACTTACGGACTCATTGTTAAAACTGTGTTTATGGAAGACAATCTTACTTGGCTACGAGTGATTGCCAAATAACGATAATGGTTACGATATCGATAACGGTAACGATATCGATATCATAACGGTAACGGTAACGATAACGATATCGATAACGGTAACAGTAATGGCAATGGTAACGGTAATGATATAGATATCGATAACAATATCGATAACGGTAATGATGTTGATAACGATAACCGTAACAATAACGGTATCGGTATCGTTAACGGTAACGGTAACGAAACCCAATTCGACAACTGCATTATAACACTGTGACACCAGATGGCGCTGCAGTTTTTTCCAGAGCATTTTCAGAGCTTATTTTATAGCTGTGTAAATGCAGCCTTCAAAGGTGGAAAGGCAAGTGGAAAGGCAAGCTCGGGTACTTGTTCTTTTGTTATATACTCCTTTTAGTGACGAGGGACGTGGGTGGCACGTTAAACCACAGAGCCTAGGACTCTTTACCTTTCCAGCTTGAACGGAAATAGTTAGAGGACAAGAGGGGTCAGAAATTGCTGGTCTCTTAGCTGAGCTGACAGTCACTGAAGTCTCTCATCTCTCTTTACTGTAGTCTGATGGAATGTGTGTTTTCAGAAGGCACTTGAGGAAAAAGCCTGTTTTACTGCTATCTCTCCCTTTGCATTTGCTTCCAGTTTGGGCTGATATTTGGGCCAAGGAAAGGGCTTCCAGCTGCCGGCTGCTTAGTCTAAAAACTGCCACCTTGTGCAATAATGAAAATCAGTTCGACAAACAAACCCGCCCAGCTTCTCTTGCCGAACCCAAGAGGACAAAGAAAAACAACCCGGGCAAAAACAAGAGGGACAAAATCAGTTTGGGGGAATGGATGACTGCTTGCCTGGAAACACCTTGTTAAGCAGTCAGGGCTTTCCTCAAAGAACCTAGGGAACTGTAGTTTGCCAAGCAGGCAGAAGGTTGTTGGGAGAACCTGTTTCCCCTTACACAGCTACAATTCCCAGACTGGTTAACAGTCAACCCATCTTCCCATGGAACTCTGGGAATTGCAGTCTGGATGGGGTCCTCCTAAAAACTCTCAGCATCCTTGACAAACTACAGTTCCCAGGATTCTTTTTGGGGGGGAGGCCGTGAGTCCATAACGGGGTATGATACTGCTTTTAATGTACAGTGCAAATGGAGACCCATTTAGCATTTGTCTAAGTGTCTTTCGCTTTTAATTAATGTCATCCTTATTTTGTCTTACTGAACCATTTCTTGTCTTTTGCATAGAGAGGCCAACAAATGTTAATAATGATGGCTGGCATCCGTCATCTCAGGAGACAACGGAGGAGGGTGCCTTTGGGGGTGAGGTCAAGCTGTTGGAAGGTTGCAGTTCCTGCTGTGGCTGTAGAGACCGATGCGGGAGAGACATGTTTCGCTGAAGCTGGGGCACATGAAGAAGAAGAAGAAGAGTTTGGATTTGATATCCCGCCTTTCACTCCCCTTCAGGAGTCTCAAAGCGGCTAACATTCTCCTTTCCCTTCCTCCCCCACAACAAACACTCTGTGAGGTGAGTGGGGCTGAGAGACTTCAAAGAAGCGTGACTGGCCCAAGGTCACCCAGCAGCTGCATGTGGAGGAGCGGAGACGCGAACCCGGTTCCCCAGATTACGAGACTACCGCTCTTAACCACTACACCACACTGGCTCTCATCTGGTTGTGCTATTGCAGATGAACGATGGCATTTTCACTCAGCTTCTCCCAGCAGTCATTTCTCCTCTGGTCGCTGCTATTGATACATGACTTGACTGCGGTTATCTGCCAGGGATTCCCAACCGGCAGGGTTGATTTTGCAAGCCTTCATGTCATGTTTGCAGACAGCGTTGGCCTGCCGATAATAATAATAATAAATAATAATAATAATAATGGCACTTGGTTTTGAATGAATGAATCTTTATTTGCATCAGCCACTGGCCTTAGCAAGAAAACAACAATACAATATACAAATAAAAAGTCAATTATATAAAATACAGTTCAGGGTTTTGGATCAATAGTCAAATAGTGGAAAAAATGACACATGGTTCTAGCCTGGCCTTTTTCTCTCGACTCTGTGCTGGGCTGCTCTTTCTAAACTTTCCTGTTAAGAAACTGGTCGAAACTTGAGACACTTCCAGCAGCAACATCCCTCCTGTCCCCCGATCGATTGCCT